GCGCCACCATGCCCTGCACCGCTTAATTTTTTATTTTGAGACACATTCTCAGTAAGTTGCACTTGAACTTGCGATCCTTTTGCCTCAGCCTCCCAGAGTGATGGGATTATAAAGGCATGTGTCACCATGCTTGGCTGCAAAAAAAATCAAAACAAGAATAAAGAAAACATTTTGTTGACTATTTGCGAGAATGCAAGTGCATAGTCTGAGTTAGATAGCTAGTAGTGGATGTACATGACTGCGTCCTGCTGTCATAGCTCTTCTTAGGAGCTTCTCAGTGGCCTTCTGCAGGGTGCCAGGGCCCTGCTCTCAGGTCAGGCTCCTTTTCTGTCACATCACATTTTGCTCCATGGGGAGCATGTAGACATCCAGCTCTCTGGGCTGGAGTTTGAAGAGCATGCTTTCCTCACATTTCCCCCCCAGTACTGGGGATTAAGCACAGCACTCTACCACTGAGCTACTTCCCACCTTTTATTTTAAAATTTTGAGATAGGGTTTTGCTTTGTTGCTCTGGTTGTCCTCAGACTTGTGATTTTCCTGCCTCAGCCTCCTGAGTAGCTAGAATTACAAGCATGTGCCATTGCACATGGCTTTTCCTTTTGAACTCAGCAAGGTTAGGGATTAGCTCCGTGGTAGAGTGATTTCCTGGCATGAGTAAGACCTGGAGTTTGGTCCCTAGTGCTGCCGCCAAACAGAGAAACAAATATACGTGAAACTGGACAACACCCATGGATTTTTCCAGGTTCCCTTAATATGCTGAAGTCCACTTCTGGGCTTTGAAAGGGTCCTCATTTTGAGAAATGTTGCTCTCTTCCTGCACCACTTACAGTGGCTGGGGAGCCTACAGTCCCTTACCAGGAGAAGGGATGAAGGAGTTGGCTGGTTCTGCTTTCCTTAATGCTCATCTTGTTTTGTCAGCATAGTGCCTTCAGCCCCGAGCAGCTGACCTCAGGCTGTTCTGGCTCTGAACAGAACTGAAGCAAACTTTTGTGGGAGCACATTTTGTAAGCTGTTGTTCTTGGCTTTGGTCTTCCTGACTTTTCTCTTTAGAGTTGGGCTGCTCGGTGTTTTTTGGCAGCTCCTTCTATGATCTGTGATGACCTCTTGAATTTTGCCTCTGAATTTAAGATGAGTTGCTTTAAAATTCCTTCTCCAGTTCTTCATTATCAGGACTATTTTCTTCTTTTTTAAAAAAATCAAGACTATTTTCATTTACAAGGAGCACAATTTTGCTCAAGGATTTGCCATCCTGAGGGTTTGAGACATCTTGCCTTTTTGAGTCTTACATGGAACCTATTTTTTTTTCTCCAAATGGATAGAATTTGTCTTGTTTACCTCAGTGGAGGCATGACTGGCATTTTGGGCTGAATTGTTTTTCCTGAAGGGCCATCTTGTGCAATGCAGAACTTAACATCCTGACCACTGATACTACCAGTGTTTGTTAGCTGGGGCTCTGGAGGATGTTGGGACACCTGGATAAGATGATGTTACAATGCTTAGCGTCTGTGTCATGGGCAGGGCTCAGGGTGTCAAGTGCAGGGTCCTGGCCTAGATACCAGTGATACCCTGTTGAGAAACCTATCTGCTGTGGGGTGTTCACTATCCCCTGAAGGTAATAGGACGTGTTTGTTTGTCTCAGTTTCTCTCATTTGTGCCTAATAATCAGTTTTTGTTGGCTAGAATTATGCATGAGAGGTGATCTTTTTCTACTTTGGATAACTTAACTTGGGAACAGTGTAAATTAAGTTTATCTGATAACCCTGCTTTGGATTCCCTGTCTTTCCAAGTAGCCCTCATTAGAGTTGACCTTTCTTCTCTGGCCTGTAGTGTGTGGCTTACTCCTGTAGTGTTAATGACTTTCATCTTTCTTCATGCATCTGCTTGATATCAGAGGGCTGAGTTTAGGTGTCTTTCTTGTACCCATGCCCACAAGTTCCTCCTTTTTCTTAAGCAAGATACAGTTTTTCACTTTGTCCCTTTTTTTTTTCTTTTTTTTCTTTTTGAGGCAGGGTTTCACTGTGCAGTTCAGGCAGGCCTTCAGCTCACTTTGTAGCCCAGGCTGGTCTTGAACTTGCAATGCTCAAACTCACACTGATCTTCCTGCCTCAGCCTCAAGAGTTCTGGGATTACAGGCATGCGATTCCCTCTCTCTCTCTTCCTCTCTCTCCCCTCCCCCCCTCAGTCTCCCAAGTGCTGAGATTACAGGTATGCACCACAACTGGCTCTCCTTAGCCAAGTATCTTACTGTAGTGTCTTGAGCCAAGGACCATAAAGCTAAAATATAGCTTTTGTACTGTTTGCAGAGAATCCTTCCTATCTCAAGCCCTTCCCCACTCCCACCCACCACTCACTTCCTAGCACTTCACTAACCCAGTCATTCAGCAGATGTTTGAGTCTCACCATTGCGGAATTTTCAAGAAACTGGAGAGACCAAGAAGGATTTTCAGTAGGACTTCTTAACAGTGCACCATCCTAGCCACTAGAAAAGCTCAAAACCAGGCCGGCCCCCAACCAAGGAGAGGTCCCCTTTTACACAGCTTGTGGCACAAGCAAGTAGAGATACAGAAACGAAACAAAGCCAGTTAGTCATCTTGGCAGCTAACCCTATCTTAGCCTTGAAAAGAAAACACATCCTGTGCATCTCAGAAGTTAGGATGCTGTGAAGCTGGTTTATAACCTGTTTGTTAGCTTTGTCCGTGATGGTACACGGTATTGTCCCTCTAAGGGAGGAGATTCCCTTGAGAGAACTGCTTGAAGTGTCTCCCTTATCAGTGAGAAGAGCACGGGACCAGTGACAAAGCGGAAGTCCATATTCCTGAGGGAGGGGTTGCCTGAGAAGTTGCTTGCCTGGATCTGGGAAGGTTTTTACTTTGGAGAGGAAGACTTAAGTTTTCTTCTGCTTTACTCTAAGCTAAAGGTGCTAGGCTTCCCGATTCCCGCCCTCATGGAGCTGACATTCTGTTTGGGATATGTGGTATGGTATGAGACCTTTTCCCTTTCCTGAATTTGCTCATACTTTATAATCTCCAGAGGAGCATTTGCAGTGGGTCTTGGGTATTAGTAGGAGGACTAGATGGCAGGCAGGTTGGAGTGTTCCCTTAGGCACTGTGATTTTGATTCTGTGTTGCAGGGGGTTGCAAGTCCCAATGCTAGTACTAGCCCTTTCTTAAAAATGCATACGGCCCTCATTTGGCAATGCTTTTCCTTTCTTATGCTGCTTGGTAAGTATCCCCATGTTCAAAACTATCCACACTTGCTTGACCAGAATTTGTTGAACTGTTCTCAGGTCCAGATGATTGTAGTAGGTACCTGGAACTGACCAGTTGTGAGCACCCTGTGGGAAGATACTCATGACTGTTGATGGACGTGAATTTCCTGTTTCATGCATTCCTTTAGTTTACTTGTCTCTGGGCCAGATCCCCTATATACACACATATACACCCTGACTCAGAACCTGTAACACTGGTTCCAGTTTCCCCTTTCTCAGAAATTGTTTCTTCTATCCAGTGTTGCCTCATGTACCTTATAAATTGCTGTGGTGTGAGGGGAATGTGGAGCGCAGAGGAATTTTTTGGGTTTGATGCAGGGGCCAGTAGGGTAGCTTCTGTGCCATTGTGAGCCATAGCTACACATAGAGAGGCCTTCCTCCTAGAGCAGTGATAGTGAACCTTTTAGAGATTAAGTGCCCAAAATGCAACACAGAACCCACTTAGTTATTACAAAGCGTTAACACTGCAATTAAACCTGAATACTGAGGTTTTAGTTAAAAACAACAACAACAACAACAAAAAACCTGTTATCTGATGCCCAGTTGCTGGGGTGGCCGGCCCTGCGGGCTGACAGAGAGGGCTTTGTGTGCCTGCTGCAGCATGCCTGCCCTAGGTTCACCACCACTGCTATAGAGGGTTTGTGGGGTGGGCCAGAGAGGAAGCAGTCTCCTCCTGGCAGAGGAGGCAAGGCTCAGTGGGGTTAGTGCTTGAGTTGCAGAAGAGAAGGCACCTGAGATGTGAGGGAGGCTTTGGTGCTATTAGTTGGGAGTGGCATTCCAGATATCTGCACATGGAGGAATGTTGGTGATTTGATGTGGGCAAGAGGGTACCTTGTCTTATGACCCCAGCCAGGCATTCACCTGAGGAGTTGGGGAGGCAACAAGAAATACCTGGCTGGCGCACAGTTGAAAAACAAGTGGTAGACAATTCTAAGGACATGTCAGGCAGGATCTTAGAGTAATTAATCATGGTGGTTGTGTTTTCTGGGTGAAATGGCATTTGCTTCATTGACTGTTTACATATACAGTAATGACCTCTAGTTTGTAAGGATTCTTGTTTCTTACAGTGTGGTTTCCCCTTCATTGTCTGCAGCTCTGGGTATTATAACCCCTGTCAGGCAGCTGAGGAAACTGAGGCTCACTGAGGTTTCCTATCCCCTCCCAGTACTAGACTGGTTGGTTGTTCTCTTTGCTTGTGATAGTGCTAGGGTGGAGCCCTGAAGTCACAGCTCAGCACTGGGTAGGAAAGTTGGTGGGTGTGCATTTGCCTTTGGTTGGCTGCTAGCCAGTTTTATTCATCTTTATATTTTCAGTGTCCAGTACATAGTCAACACTTAATAAATCTCAATTGGAAGAAGTAAGATCTGTAGCACCTCAGGCTAGTCACTGCCACATGTCCGCTATGTGCAGGGTGCATGCCTATTTAAACAGGCATGAGGACTAACCACAGAGAGGAGCTGGTATATCTATGGAAGCATGACCCCTCCCATCAGTGCAGTGGGTTGCTGAGGTGGGAACTTGTCTTGGTCTGGGGCAGATAGAGGCAATGACCTCACCGAGAGAATTTCCTTGTTTCCATGCCTCTTTAACCAAACCAGGCATGGTATAGTCTTTACTCATATTGTGTCATTGGTGGTGTTGTGACCTGGTTTTATCTGAGGGAGTCAGGAGGGATCTTAATATGTGGTGCTTTCCCCAATTTGACACCCCTTTATGCTTTGTTAATCAACAGGAGCTTGAAGAGATCCGCAAATGTGGAATGAAAAACTTCCGTAACATCCAGGTTGATGAAGCTAATTTATTGACTTGGCAAGGGCTTATTGTTCCTGTGAGTATTGAACACTTCCACTTCTTATCAGATTATTCTTTCAGGTGGTGTGTGCTGCTGGGCTTATCTCTGAGCTCCTAGGCAGGCTTGTGGTTGGGGCAGCCCACAGATGCACAAAAGTGGGCTATGGCTTCAGGGTGACAGGTAGGGTAGGGCATGGCCTTGCAGAATCATGGCTTTGCATTTGGTTTTCTAAAATTCTGAGAGTCCCAAACTTTTCTGATCTGTGGTTATCTACACAGGGAAGAGGAGTATCTGTGCTCCTATTCCCTCCAGTTTTCCCTGGCTTCTGGGTGCCTGGCCCTATTTATCAGGACAAGACCTCCTTCTCTGGCATTTCTTGGGAGAAGGCTGGCATTCCTATCTAGATCTTTTGCTTTCCTCCTTGGTTTTGCATCTATGTCTGTCACCCCCTGGACACCTGTGATACGCGCTTTATTCCTAGTACCCTTTAACTTGTGCTTCACATTTGTCTCTAATATATGTCTACATATCCCCCAAGTCCTGCTCCCCCTCTCAGGGATTTCTGCCTTCAGACAGACTCAGGCTCCTCCTAACTGGGCTGCTTTGGCCTTAGTACCCTCTTGAGTTAGTGAAACCTCTTTTCTCCATCCTTTGGTCCCCTCACCCTCCTGGAGACTGGACCTGTACTCCACTGTGCAGTCCTTATTTTTCCTGCCTTCTTGAAAGAGAAGTGCATTTACACCAAATGCACAGCCTCCTCTCAGTTGTTACACGTATGGGCTTTGCTTGTCTCTAGAACCTTTGGCTGTCCCAGTTCCCGGTCCTGTAACCAGTATGCTACTTGCTTCTGATCTGCCTTTGGCTACTCCTTTAACTTGGGTGTTGGTAGTCTCTGCCTTATTCTCCTTTTGCTTTGCTTCTGAGATCCTTCCTTTTTCTAGCTTCATAGTTAATTGTGCTATTAAATAAATGATTCCCATGCTTTGTCTCCATCCTTGCCTTCTCTCTCTGAGCTGCACCATTTGTCCACCAGATAACCTTCCAGCACCCCCATCAGTTTTATATCCTTGACATCCTGTGTGATTGTTTTCCTTCTTTCTCATTTTTCCTCATCCACCTTTCTTACTTTTCTTTACCACTTTGCTGATCTGATCCTCAGGTCCTTTCCCTGTGCCAGTTGCTGTCCTGCCATTGTCATGTATAATTGTTTCTATGGGCAGATTGGCTTCTCACCATAGCAGAGCATAAAACATGCTTACTGTAGATGCTTCTTGATGGGAGTCCTTATAACTCTGTTTTAAGATTATGCTTTTGTTTTTTTAAAGTCCTCGGAAGCTGAACAGCAAATGTTGGATTTATAGTTTATTTTTGTAGTCATTTAGGTATCTAAGGCAAAACAGACTCAAATTTTTTTTGTTTGTTTTTTTCCAGTACCGGGAATCAGACTCACGACCTTGTGCTTGCCAGGCAGGCGCTGTGCCACTGAGCTAAATCCCCAGCCCCAGACTCAAATTTTTTGAATCTAGGAGATTACAGTCTGGTTTTCAAGATATGTCCTTTGGATTTCTTTAGGCTTGAAAGTAACAGGGTTTGGGGCACAGGATAAATGGCGAAGAAGCTACTGACTAGGAGGAGCTGGCCTTTGACTGCAGCCCTTAACTGCCATTGTGGCCTGTTAAGTGCTGAAGAGGACATCTCAGATCATGATTACCTGTCCCTTCTTTGTTTTGTATTTTTGAGCTAGTGTCTCACTATGTAGTCCAGGCTGGCCTTGAACTCTGTGTAACCTATACTGGCCTTGAGCTCTCAGTCCTCTGTCTTTGGCTCCCATGTGCTGGGATTATAGGCATGTGCCACTATTGCCATCTCCCATGTCCCTTTTCTATTCCGATTTTATATAAGAAATTTATTTAATAATAAATGATATTTAATTATAAATGATGTAAGAAATAGCTAGTCCATGGCTATTTTAGAAACTGTTAAGAATGGATGGGTTGGTATTAGACTGTAAAGATGGAATCACCCTTTGAGTTCAGTGAACTGTAAGCCTATAGAATCTCACCCTTTGAGTTCAGTGGGCTAAGGCTCTTATTAAGCCAAAGATAGAGATTGGCTGGTTGAATCCCAGTGTGCATGGGTTGAACAGGCCGAAGCCTCAACTTCTATTGAGGAAGCTGGGCCAAGGGACCATAAACCATGGCCAGGATGCTCACTTCCTACTCAGACTGCCCTCTTCTCAGTCCTCTCTTGCTTCCGTCCTGTAATCACTGCCCAGGCACATTGGGTTGGTATGATGTTTCAAGGAAGCATTTCTTTCTACCCTAGAGCAGTTGGCATTCTTGGCAGCAGACCTCTGCTGGATGTGTACTCATATTACCTGGGCTTCAGGTCTTGCTGCATTATAGGGGCTGGGCCATCATGGAACCCTTCTACCCACACTCATTTGAAGATCCACCCAGTTGGGGTGAAAATAGAGCCAGCTGGTAAAGCATAGCAGCTCAGCCCTGCTCTGTTGTTTTACAGCAGGTTTTTGGTCCTTAGGGAATACCTGAGTAAATGGTTTGGCCATAATAGAGAGAGAGAGAGAGAGAGGGAAGGCAGGCTGAGGGCTGAATCCTAGAAGCACTGCATTTTTACTGTTAAAGTTCAGGTTGGTTTGTGTGTGTGTGTTGCTAGGGATTGAACCCAGGGCCTTCACAGTGAACTACATTCACAGGCGCCCCCCACACACCGGGAATCAAACTCACTACCTTGCGCTTGCCAGGCAGGTGCTGTGCTGCTGAGCTAAATGCCCAGCCCCAGCTACATCCCCAGCCCCCACAGCCTTTTTTAAAACATTTTTTGAGACAAGGTCTTGTGAAGTTTCCCAGCTGGGCATGAACTTGCAGTCCTACTGTCCCCTCAGTCTCCCTCAGTGCTGGGATTACAGGCACACACCACCAAACATCTTGAAAAGGTTTATTCCCTTTTTTGGGCGGGAGGTGTGTGGTTTCTTTTTTTTTTCCCCAGTGCCAGGAAGTGAACTCACGACCTCGCGCTTGCCAGGCAGGCGCTATGCCACTGAGCTAAATCCCCAGCCCTTATTCCCTTTAAATGTTTGTTCTTCTGTAAATTTTTTTCATCTGAAATTCAAAGGTGAAGTTTAAAGAGGAAAGTATCATAATCCATCATTGACAAATCAAGTAAATTTTGAGGCACTGCCCTTTAGGAGTCTGGGGTAAAAGGGTGAACCTTTCTGAAGTTTCTAGCCTGGTATAGAGAGCCCTTCCCAGTCCTCATCACAGCCCAGGACGTTTATATTTGTAATCCTGTGGAAAAGTTATTGGAATTCTAGTGAGTTAATTCCAATCTACCACTCCCAGTGCAACTTACGGTGTAAATAAAGACCCTAAGACATATTTGTAGTTATGGGAAGCCAAGGGCTCCTAAGCCCAGCTACAGTGATGGCTAATTGGAACAAAGACCTCAACCCAGGGCCAAAAGAACTTGGGTTTTATTAATTTGTGAAGAAAGGAGTGGCTTGAGGATGAGTGACTGAGATTGGTGGGAAGTAGGTGAATGTGATGAGCTGGGCTAGGTAGGAGGCCTGAAATCACCTCTGCAATATGCAGAGAGAAGGATATTCAGAAAGAGTAATCCACATAACACAGTTGAGGTAGTATGTAATGTTTTGGGATCAGTGTTTCAACTCTGATGTGTAATCTTTTATGCCCTGAGAAGTCTCACACATGTTTTATTTGGGAGCTGTGGAAGGCAGGAAAACACTGCCCTGTGGTCTTTGCTTCAAAGATACATATCAGCACCTGGCTGAATGGATTTGCATTGCTTAAATCCAGTTGAAGGGGTAAGGAAAAGTCCTAGCCAGCTCTGTACACATCAGTGCATGGAAATAGGGCCAGGTTCAGCCAAAATGGAGACGGTTGCTGCTCCTGCAGGGAGAGTTGCCCAGGTGAGAGTCGTCCGTATCCTGGTGAATGTTTTCATTCTTAATCTTTGGTGTAGTTCCTCCCAGCCTTGCTTTTTTCTTTTTTTGGAGCGGGTGAGTACTGTGGATTAGAACTGGGGGGCCTTTGCACAGAGCTATAACCCCAACCCTTTTAAAATTTTTCTCTATTTTGAGACAGGGTCTTGCTAAGTTGTCCAGGCTGCCCTTGAACTTGGATTCTCCTGCCTTAGCCTCCTAAGTTGCTGGGCTGGGACCATGGCACCTGTCTCTCCTAGTCTTTTTGTATGAATTTTTTTGTGTGTGTGATACTGGGTGTTGTGCCCAAGGCCTTGATCTTGAAATTGAGCCATTATCTCCCTCTCCCATCTTACTAAATTGCTGTATTGCTCAGATTAGACTCAAACTTTCATCCCTCCTGCTTCAGTCTTCTAGAATGCTGGGATTATAGGTGTGCATCAGAATGCCAGCTCATGTAGTTTTTAGTAAACTATTTCATAATTGTTTTATTATTCCATAATTTAGTTACTGTCTTGAAATTTTGTGAGCACATTCAGTATCTAGTGTCCTATGAGATGATCATTTATTTAATAATTTGTTTTAAACTTTTTTTTTTTTTTGTGAGACAGGGTCTCACTATGCAGTTCAGGCTGGCCTTGAGCTCACTTTGTAGCCCAGGCTGACCTTGAATTCACAGTGATCCTCCAGCTTTAGCCTCCTGAGTGCTGGGATTATAGACATGCACCACCATACATGGCCCTGTTTTAAACTTTGATTATTTGTAAAATAAAAATTTTTATTTATTTTAGATTTTGATCTTAAAGTAATGTGTTCTGCCCATTCAAATTTATATATAAGGAACAGACCATCTGTTTGTATATTTATTTAAGTTGTTTTCCAGAAAGGTTGTGGCAGTGTCAACACTGTGAACCCTACTTTTTATACAAGTGCCTGTATGTGCTATTGAGTATCTTTGAGGCTGGACATTTATTTATTAATTAATGTATTTATTTATTTGTGTGTGTGTGTTTGTTTTTGAGATGGTCTCAGTATGAGATTCAGGCTGGCCTTGAATTTGCAGTGATCCTCCATC